ACACACACACACACACACACACACACACACACACACACACACACACAGAGGTCTTACTGAGATGAAAAGGAATGAGATTGAGAGGTAGGGAGATATAGGACTAGATTTGCCACCAAACTGATAGGTGACCTTGGACAAGTAAATTCACCTCTCTGGGACTGTTTCCTCATGTGTAAAATGAAAGGATTGATCTAAAAAATTTCTAAGCATCCTCCCAGACCTTATATGCTGTATTCTAAGGGCCCTCCCAGCTTTGACATCCTATGTTCCAAGGGCCTTCCCAGCACTGACACTCTGAGTTCTAAGGGCCCTCCCAGCTCTGACATTCTAGGTTCTAAGGGCCCTCCCAGCTCTGACACTTTAGGTTCTAAGGGCCTTCCCAGTTCTAACATCCAGTGTTCTAAGGGCCCTGCATTGACATTCTGACATTCTCTATCCTAAGGTCCTTCTAGCTTTTTTTTTTTTTTAGAACTGAAGTAGTCCAGGAATCAAAAGCACTGTGTTCTATGCCTGGTTCTGCTGATCACTTGCCATGTGGCCTTGAATAAGGTGCCTTTTGTCTTTCTAAGCCTCAGTTTCCCATCTATGAAATGGAGGGACTGGAATAATTAACTAATAGGAAGCTACATAGTTCAGTCTATAAACACTAGAGGAAGAGTCAGGAAGACCTTAGTTCAAATCCAGCCTCAGACACTTACTGGCTATGTAATGCCTGCTCAAGTCACTTCACATCTCTCTGTCTCAGTTTCCTCATCTATAAAATGGGGATAATAATAGCACCTACCTCTCAGCGTCGTCGTGAGGATAGAATGAGATAATACAAAGGTTACAAACCTTAATGTGCTTACGTAAATGTGAGCTGTTATTCATTATTATTATTGTCTCTAAGGGTCCTTCAAATTTTCACACATAAAAGGGCAGGGCACACGGATGGAGAAAAAAGCAGTCATTTTTCTGGACTAGTCACGAGGACACAGAGGCCACTTTTTTGAGCCAAGGGGAGACTTTGAGTTAACAGCCAGAAAGTGTAAAGCCTTGAGTCGTCCATGCCCACGACCAGTCCGAGCCAGTTCTCAGCCTTGGCCCCGAGCAGAGAAGCCTCCGTCTAGTTTGGGAAAGGTCTGGCCAGGTTCCTGGCAGTGCCTTCGCCCTGCCCCCACCTCACTCTCCACCACCACAATGCTGAGCGTACAGGTCCTCTTCCTGTTCTCTGTTCTCAGAAATGTGGGTCACTGATAGTGGGGTCTACGTCATTTCCCCCAACCCCCATGGATAGGTTATTTCCCAGGGGCCTTCCCTATTAGGTACTGTCCCAAAAAACTTCGATGCCCAGGGAGGGAAAAAAGTGGGGTGCTGGAACCCACCTACCACAGCTTCCCAGGTCTCCAACTCTCTCCCTATAAGTATCTGAGGCGGCTCCCTAGAAAAAACCTAGTAAATACGGAAAAGTGTGCTAGAGAATGAGTTGCTAGGACTAGAAGTGCCATAAAACATTGAATGGGAAGGACCTAACAGAATGTTGGAGAGGGGAGGGCCTTTGGAACACAGAATGTCAGGGCTGGGAGGGCCCTTAGAATCCAAGATGTCAGATCTGAGAGGGCCCTTGGAACCCAGGATGTCGGATCTGGGAGGGCCCTTAGAACACAGGATGTCAGAGCTGGGAGGGCCCTTGGAACACAGGATGTCAGAGCTGGGAGGGCCCTTAGAACACAGGATGTCAGAGCTGGGAGGGTCCTTAGAACCCAGAATGTCAGAGCTGGGAGGGCCTTAGAACACAATGTCAGAGCTGAAAGGACCCCTAGAACACAGGATGTCAGCTTAGAAAGAGGTCTTAAGAGAGCATTCAATTCAATGACTATTTAGTACACACTGTGTTCAGGGCAGGCCCTACTCTACACGCTGAGGATACAAAATCAAACAGGGAACATCCCATGCCCTCACAGGCTCATTGCTCCAGATCTAGAAGGCTGCTGGAGGCCAACTCTAGGACTCCCTTCTGGTCCCAGCGAAAACCCCACCTTCTGCCAGAAGCCCTTCCCAGTTCCTCTGAATGCCAGGGCCTGCTCTCTACTGATTATCTTCAATTTCTCGTGTATACACATGTATATATGCGTACTTGTTTGCATAATGTCTCTCCCGTTAGACGGTGACCTGTCTTGTGCCTTTCTCAGTGTGTAGTACGGTGCTCAGTAAATGTTCACTGGCGCATAGTAGGTGCTTAGTAAATGTTGACAGACTGACTGAATCTAGTCCAGCCTTCTCATTTTACAGATGGAGAAACTAAAGGTCTGAGGAGCGATATGGCTCACCCAAGGTCACCTAAAATGGAAATCCTTTGATCTCGACTCTAGGGCCCTTTCCACTGGCTTTCCCCAAGTTCCAGTGGGGTGCCTCACATATACACAAATAAGTAAACATCCAGAAACAGAGGAGGGAGCAAGCCCTAGAAACTGGAAGGAGAAAGGGAGGTCGGAGATGGTCCCATAGCCGAGGTGATCCATGCTAGTACAACTAGCTGGGCAGGAGATTCTGGAGAAGTCAGGGTTGATGTGGGAAGGGGCCAGAAGGTCCAGAGCCTGACTCAGTGAGTCAGGGTGGGGGGAAGGGCAGCACAGCCCTCGGGGGGTCTGGGGGGCTCACCTCAGGTTGGTCTTCTGAACAGAGAAGCAGTATTCATTGATGCCAGTCGTCGGCATCCGGGTCCGCAGAACGTCCTGGGCTGTGGGGATGTAGCTTTCCTCTGTGATACGCTCCAAGTTGGACAGGTAACTGCAAACCCAGACCTGGCCCTGAGCCCTGGCTCCGACTAACTTAACCCTCTGGGTCCTGGGGCAACCCTTCCCCATCCCACCCCCGACAAAACAGAAGCCAGCCTTTCTGTCTGCCCACCACAAAATGACATCCCCTACCCCACATCTACTAGGAAGCTTTCCAGGACTACAGTGATCCCTTCCTTCTCTGGGGCCCCACAGGCCCCACTATCTGCACTTAACAGGGTCGGGAGAGGGGGGTCCAGACAATCATTGCCCCTTTCTCCTGCCTGCCACCGCCCCACAGTGTCTGGCCCAGGGATGTCTCTACAGAGGCTCCATAAGAGTTTACTGACCTAGGGTGGCAGTTATGTGAATGTAGTCAGAATCACCGGTAAGACAAGGGTGTAGACATATTTTCGAGAGTGTGTGTGTGCTATGTGTTCACTAAGAGCTTGCCCCCGGCAGATGCTGAGAAGTGTTGGTGTCAGGCGTAGCGGTTGTAGTGGGTGTGTGCTCATCTCCAAAAAGGAGAGGAAATGAGGCTGGGGAGCTTATGGGGATACATAAATCAACATAGACATCCAACAAAACGGGCTGGAGAGTTCATGTTGGGCCAAGGGTCTCACATGCTCTATCTTCATGCACCGACACCCACAACATGCATAGAGAAACATACCACACACAGCTGAGACACACCAGAAGCACACATCAGATGTGCCCAGATACATGTATCACACGGGAAGCCCCATACATGCAGACTCCCACAAAATGGTAGAGCGATACATTCACACACACATCACAAACACAAGTTCCCTACTAATAGATATATTCTCTGTCTCTTCAGACACACACATTGCCCACAGATGTACCCTTTCTTTCACACACACACACATATACCCCATGCCCATAGGCATATACCCTCTAACACAGAGACCCCTCCCCCTCATTTTCCCCACATGCATACACTTGCATCTAATATCTCTAAATCCAGACATAAGCTCCCCGGGGACATGTATTTGCTCATTTTTGTGATACATGCCCCCCAGAGTCGTGTGGTTATATTTGAGATCGCACACACACGTGTAGAGATGACTATGGGATAGCTCCAGATTTCTGGATTCCTGATCCCCACTGGGGTCCCCCTGGCTCCTGAGCTGAGTCTTGGGGACTCCATCCAGCATCTCTCCCATGAATGTGGTCCAGAAATGTCCAGGGCTCAGTCTTCAGCCACAGAAACTAGGGGAAAGCCTGGCAAAGACCCAGAAGCTGAATGTCTTCCAGGCAGATCACCAGCCCCCCACAATCAAACCCACCAGACCACGCGTCTGCCCCATACTCACTACACAGCAGAGTCCAGCAGATGGAATTCGCAACGGCGATTGTAGCAGGTTTTGATGCCAGCATCTTTCCATAGACACATAATGGCGTGGGCCTGGGGCTTCTCGAAGGTTGTCACTTTGTAGGCATCCGTGTTCATAATCAGGTTAGCATGATGCTGGGAGGTAAAGGGGTCAAAAAGTCAGAGGCCATGGGGTCCTCGGGGCTATCAGCCCAATTCAAGCCAGAAGGGCACCTCTAAGAGAGGAGAAGTGTCAGGTCTTGTATTTCCAAAATAATTTCTTTCATAGTTTGCCTCTAGCCCACCCGCAGCATACCCTCATCTGTCATCTTCTTCACCTTCCAGAATCAGATCAGATAACTACAGGATTACAGATTTATACTATGGGGAGCCTTGGGGATTTAGCCCAACTCTCCAATTTTACAAATGAGAAAACTAAGGCCCAGGGGGGTTAAATGCCTTGCCCAAAGTCACTCAAGTATTAAGGAGCGAAAGTAAGATTAAAACCCAGAGTCTCTAACTTCAAACCCACTGCACCAAGATGGTTCCCATACATGCTTCAGGAGATAGTCCTGAGGTGGGTAACATTGGGCAAATCTCTTTCCCTTCTCTGGGCCTGTTTTCCCACCTGTCTAACCAAGGTTCCTTTAAGGCTCCTTCCGGCCTGAAGACTGTGGTCCTCTCATCCTATAGGGGCCCACAGGACTAGGAGTGGAGGGTGAAAGTGAGGAAAGAGAGATGACCGTGGGCTGGAGCAGCCACAGGCTATACCAACTATCCCCTTTTCCCACTGATCCCAGACCCCCCCAACCCCCGCCTTGGTTCCTTCTTGCTGGGCTCACCCTGCTCTCAGGGCAGCTATAGGGGATGTGAAGGGTGTCCATGGCCTCAATCATGGCCTGCATGGAGCTGAAGATGTTCTGGTAGACTAGGGAAGTGAAGCCTTTGCGGTCCTCCTCCGAGTACCCTGCCCCGTGGATAATTCGCATCTGTTTGATAAAGGTGCTTTTTCCGCTCTCCCCGGTACCTGTTGATGAGAGGCCAGATCAGGGTCAGGAATACCCCCCAGCTCTGCCCTCGCCTTCCATCCCACATGGAGGCTCTTAGGACTTCATCGGCCTGTCCTCCCTGGAAGGGAAGGAGTTCCCAATCTTGGAAGTTTATTTAAAGATGAAAACCTGCTGCCTCTCAAGAAACCCTGAGGCAGACATTGATAATAAAGACTTACTTAAACATGTCTACTGCAGTGGACCAAGCTCAGAACTCGGTGGTCATGAGACTCCTCCCACTTGGGTCCCAGCCGTGACTCCACCACTGACTGTGTGACCTTCACAGAATCAGTCTCGAAGCATAAAGAGACCTCAGCGACCAAGCCACACATCTGAAAAACCATCCTCTTCACAACCCAACAAGAGGTCAGCCAACCTGTGCTCAAAGCCCTCCAGGGAATGGAGTCTTCTCTTATTTGATAAGAAGTCTTTCCTATGAATAGTCTTCATTTGCCTCTTTGACACTTCTACCCATCCGTTCCAGTTCTGCCCTCTAGGGTCAAGCAGAATCCATCTAACCTCTCGTCCAGAATGCTGTAGCCCTTTAAATACTTGGAGGCAGTTACCATATCGCTACCCAGTCTTTCCTTATCCAGGTTGAGCAACCTCATCTCCTTTAACTCATCCTCTCACGGCATAAATTCAAGGCTCTTCACCATCTTGGTTTCTCACTTGGGAACATTCTCCAGATTATCCACGTCCTTCTTAAACTATGGCACTCAGAATGGAGTCCAGTACTTGAGATGCAAAGCGACTAGGGCAGGGAGGGGGGAGAGTGCTGCCTCCCTGATGTGGCCCCAGATGATTTTCCTGGATGCCACACCCTCACTCTCCTCCACCACCCACCTCACACACCCCCTACCCCAAGCCACATCCAATCAGTCGCTACGTCTTGCCTCTTCTACCATCCCTTCTCTTTTCACAAAGTCACCAGGCCCTCATCACCTCTAACTGGGACTATGGCAGTAGCTTCCTCATCAGTATGCCTGACTCTCTCACCTCTCCAATTGATCTGCTAACCTGCCAAAGTGATTTTCCTAAAGCCCATGTCTAACTGTGTCATTCTCTCATTCCATAAACTCTAGTAATCCAGTCAAATACAAACCGCTTCAGTTTATCATTTAAAGCCCTTTACAACCTGGTCTCACAACCTACCTTTCCAAACTTGATATCACATTTGCTAACTCATTGAGCTTATAGTATTGAATCCCCTAGATCACCTTCCAGCAAACTGTTGGCTAGCCAAGCTTTCCCCAGTTTTATACCTTAGACAAGTCCCTTTTCTATTCTGGACCTCACTTTCCATATACATACACATAGACATATGCACATACACATATACATACACACACATATATAGTATACACACACACACACATATATACATTATATTTATATACATATAAACATAAACTGGATATTCAATAAAGAGTCATTAAAGAAAGAATTTTTAATGTAATTAGAAACTAAATAACATAATTCTAAAGAACTGGTGGGTCAAAGAACAAATTATATCTTTGTCAAAGAAAAAGCAATAGAAAATTTCATTGAAAAAACTATAATAAGGATACAACATACTAAAACATGGGTTAAAACAGTTTTCAGGAGATATGTTATATTTCTAAAAGCTTTAATTAATAAAAAGAAAGAACAGATGAATGATTTTTAAAAATTTGAATAACAACAAATCAAAAATTTCCAACTAAAAAACAAAGTAGAAATTCTGAAAAATAGAGGAGAGATTAATAAAACAAAAATAAAAAGACCACTGGATTAATAAAACTGACTTTGGAGCTGGTTTTTAAACTTAATCAACGTGAGCAACAGTTAGCTAATCTGATTTTTTTAAAAAGAGAGGAAAACCAAATTGTTTATATCAAAAATGAAAAAGGAGAACTTGCAACATGTAAAGAGGAAATCAAGGAAATTATCAGAGACTAATTTGCTCAATTATATGCTAAGAAAACTGATAACTTTGGGGCAATAGATAAATACTTACAAAAACATAAGACATTTGGATTTACAAAAAAAAAAAGAATAGTTAGCTTACATAACCCAAAATCCAAAAAAGAAATTGAACAAGATATAAATGGGTTTTCAAAGGAAAAACAAAACAAAACAAAAAAAACAAACTCCAGTACTCAATGGACACAAATGAATTCTATCAAATATATAAAGAAAAATTAATTTCAATGCAACATAAACTGTTTACAATTATAAAAGACACCTTTTAATCTCTTTCTATGATACATATATGATCGTGATACTTAAGTCAGAGAGAAATAAAGCAGGGAAAGAAAACTATAGACCAATATCCCCAATGGACATTGATGCAAAAATTTTAAATAAAATGTTAGCAAATAGGCTACAATAACACATTAAAATGTCATACATTATGATGAGGTTAGGTTTATGCCAGAAATGAAAGGCTGGTTCAAAATAAGGAAGATATGCATATAATAAACCATATTAATAATATAAATAATAAAAATGATCATATTAACAAATGATGACAAATCCTAGGTATTGATAATCAAATGACAAAATCCAACACTCATTTCTTTTAAAAACTCTAAAAACATAAGAATAAATGGAACTTTCTTTAATATAATAAATAGTATTTATCTAAATTCAAGAATAGGCATTATACATAATGAAGAAGAGTTAAGAGGTCTTTCCAATAAGATCAAGGGTAAGGGAAGAATGCCCATTGTTACCACTATTGTTTAACATAGGGTTGGAAATGCAATCAGATAAGAAAAATAAATCGGAAGAATAAGCAAACAGCTTATAAGCAAATAAGCAAAGAGAAAACAAAATTGCCACTTTCTGAAGATGAGACAATGGTATACTCAGAGAACACTACAGAGTCAACAAAAAATTAATTGAAATAATAACTTCAGTGAAGTCACAAGATATAAAACAAATCCACATAAATGATCAGTATTCTTATATATCACCAACAAAACCCAGCAAGAAGAGCTAGATAGAGAAATTCCATTCAGAATAATTACAGAAGCTAAAAAATATTTAGGAATGTTTCTAATAAGATTCACCCAGTGACTATGTGAACTCAACTAGAAAACACTCTTTGCAGAAATAAAGAAAGACATAAACAGCTGGAGAAACAGTAATTGCTAATGGATGGGTCAAGCTAATGTATAGGGCAGCTAGGAGGTGCAGTGGATAGAATATTGGGCCTGGAGTCAGGAAGATCTGAATTCAAATCTGACCTCAGATTCTTGCTAGCTATGTGACCCTGGGCAAGCTATTTAACTCCCATTTGCCTCAGTTCCTCATCTGTAAAATAAGGACACACTGGAGAAGGAAATGGCAAATCACTTCAGCGTCTCTGCCAAGAAAATCCCATGAACTTTGTCATGGAGAGTCACATGTGACAACAACAATAGGCCAAGCCAATATAATAAAAGTGACAATACCACCTAAATTAATTTATTTAGTGCTGTACCAAACTCCCAAAAGAATATGTCGTAGAACTAGAAAAAATTACAGTTAAATTTACATGGAGGAACAAAAAGGTCAAGAATCTCAAGGATAATAATGAAAAAAAGTGGAAGGGAAGGGGGTCTATCTATCAGATATCAAACCATATTTCAAAGCAATAATCATTAAAATGTTTTGGTATTGGTTGAAAAAAGAGATTGATAAGTAAAACAGATTAGACACACAACATACAGAAGAAAACAAACATAGTTGCATAATATTTGATAAACCCAAGATCCTAGCTCCTGGGAAAGGGCTCACTATTTAATAAAAATGAAAGGAAAACATGGATGGCAGTCTAGTGGAAACTAGTTTTAGACCAGCATCTCTCTAAACACACACATGATCTAGTAAAAGGCCACATGACAAAGAAATCAGAGGAGCAACGAAGACATTACCTTCCAGTTCTATGGATGAAAAGTTCATGATTAATTAATTGAGAGATACAATCACTCAAGATAAAACAGATTTTGAGTATATCATCTTCCTGAGTTCAAATCTGGCCTCAGACACTTTCTAGCTCAGACACTTTCTGTGTCCCTGGGCAAGCTGCTTAACCCTGTTTGCCTCAGTTTCCTCATCTGTAAAATGAGCTGGAGAAGGAAATGGCAAACTACTCCAGTATCCTTGCCAAGAAAATCCCAAATGGGGTCACAAAGAGTCAGACACAACTCAACAACAACAACAAGCCCTTGGTGCAGTGCCTGGCACATAGTAGGCATTTAATAAGTGTTTGTTGAATGGAACTAAACTGAATTGGGGAATGGCCAAAGTGCAGTCAATGTCTTTTTAAAAACATAACAAAGATGAATAATATGATGACATCTGGATAGAAACACAAAAGGGATGCAGATAAAAGAAAGCAGTGCCAGCAGAATACACTCATTGACTCTGACTATATAAACAGCAACAATGCTCAATAAATACACAACCCAAACAAAGCTCCAATTGCTATTCTTTTTTTAAAATTTCCTACTCTTTCATTTTTTAAAGGAAAGGGTATTTTGAGGACCCTGGGGTGGGGGTGGGGGTAACGGTTGTTCTTCATTTTATTTATTTGTATTTATGGAAACTGACAACCCACCATCTTGCTCTCTTGGTACCCACATTGTGTCAGAGAGATGGCCCCAGGATATTGATGGCAGCGTCTCCTGTGGGGGATTCACAGAGGACTAGTGTAGACCGAAGTCAAAGAGGTCTAGAAGGAGTGAGCAAATTCTCGCTTCAACCATCGGAAAGAGGCTCCATGTGTTCGTGAGACCCTAGATCTGCCAACATTTATAATCTTTTGAGGCGAGAGATAAGAACTACATCTAGGATTTTATTGGTATAGGGAACTCCCGGGTGAGGAAACTCACTCTACCAAATGGTGGTTGGCTTCTTCACATTTTATAATGCCTCACCTGGAGCCCTGAAAGGCCAAGGGACTGGCCCAGGGTCACATGGCCAGGAGGTGTCAAAGGTAGACTTTGGATCAAAGTTTTCCTGGCTTTGAGGCCAACTCTCTATCTACTACACTTTCCTGACTCTCATGTTGATAATATATAGTATCGTATGTGATTCATAGTAAACATACTAAATTCGCAATGCATATGGTATGCTTATAATAAAAAGTATTCTGAGCTCTAAGGTTCCTTCAGACTCCTCCATCCTATGACTCCATGACTCATCCCCTACATCTGCTCCTCAAAGCCTCCTTGGGTATGATCTCATTGGCTTCCAACTTCCTTCTGCCACTAGACTGGGCAAATACTCCCCATTTCATGGGCTCCAAGGGTGCATGCCTGAAGTCACCCTGGAATTTGAGAATGGAAGGTAGAATCAAACCTTAGGTCAGGATGGGGAGAGCACTGACCTGGCGGTCACAGAAAAGACCACCAGACTTCCTTTCACTTTTCCTTAGGGTCCCCCACTGGAAGGAGAGTGAAAGGGGAAGGGGTGGATGAATCACAAGGAAGGGAAAAGTTGCAGGCCACAAATGAGGAAATAGGTGGAGGCAGAGAGGGAGCTGGGAGGAGACGGCAGGAAGCAGGAGAGGGAGGCAGCGATGGGGGAGCCTGAGTCATGCACTGATCGAATACAGGCTCCTTCTTGCGCCAACATTCTCTCTTCTAACGTTGGATTAGATCACAGAACCTCAGAATAGGAAGAGGGTCTTTGGGGGTCTTTTAGCCCAACCTATCTGTTGGAAAACCTCCAGCAATGGGAAACTCATGACCTCCCAGAGCAGCCCTTCCCTTTCTGAGGCAGCTCCCCTTAGTGGGAAATTTTTGCCTACATGGAACGAAAATATGCCAGTCTGCAAATCAGCCCTCTGGGGCTGAACAGAACGAGTCAGATCTTCAGCCCTTCAAATCATGGAAGCCAGCTATCACATTCCCCCTTGGTCTTCATTTCTTCAGGCCAAACACTCCCATTTCCTTCATTCCTGTACCAAATGCACAAAGTATTCACTGAGTTTGAGTACCCAGCACTGTGAGTACTCACTTATTAACCGATCAGTTATATATTTCATGTCTTCTTTCCAGCCCCAGTATTTCATGATCTAAAGCTTCTTTCTGGCTCTGACATGCCTGTGCCACGTGCTCTGAGCCTGTGTCCTTCATCCTTCATGTCTGAACTCTTATAATAGTTTCCTGTCTTCTCATCCCCAGTCTTCCCCTACTCTTACCCAATCTTCACAATTTCTTTCCCCCAAAGTCTATTTCTGATACTTCTCCCCTGTTTAAAAACCTCTGGACATCTTCTGACCCCAAGAGAAAATCCAAACTGCTCACTCTGGCATTCAAGGCCTTCCACAAACTAACTCCAACCAATCTTTCAGGATTACTTCCCCTGTTCCCCTTCATTTTCTTGATGCTCTGTGTTAACAGGATTTTACTGTGTCTGTCCAGACAGGACCAGTCTCTAACCTGTGAATACCTGGAGCCACAGAAAGGCTCCAGGGCCTCAGACAGGAGTGTCAGGAAACAAGGAGAGGTTTAATTAATGACTTTCAGAGTGAGAAATGCTCCCAAGCTGGAGTAAAGGCACAGCTTATGCACATAAATCACAAATGGGGAAGGCGGGGAGGGGAATTACAAAACAACCATTTCTAAGGCTTGAGCAGTTTCCCACGACAAGGCCATGAGTCCACAAGCTGCATTGTAAACTTCTGACTCCCAAGCCAGAGAAATCTAAATTGTTAGTATATTCACTACATATATCATGTTGATTAATATGAAAATCATAATTCTCTTCTCTTCTGTCAAAAATAGATGACACATTCTTCCCCAAACACATCCTTGAGTCTTTTATTATGCTATTATTAAGGGGATTTGTTCTGTGAAGTTTGGATTCAGTCACAGGGACGCACTTGAGGACCTAGAGGGTCTCATGTGGCCTTGAGGTCACCAGTTCCCCACTCTTGTCCTAGACTTTCCCCTGTCCTTGGCATTCCTTTTATTTATGTAGACGAACCTACACCATCTCTGCCTGTTAAAAGCCAACCCATCCTACCAGGCCCAACATACATGTAGCTTCCTCCAGACTCCCCTGACTCATTTCCCACCCCCCAAGCCCACAATGATTGTTCTCAGTCCTCAGAACACTGCTTTCCCCTCTCTTATGGCCTTAAGCCTATCCTGCTCTCTAGTATATGGGCCCTATTTCATCCCCTTTCTAGACTATGAGCTCCGGGAAAGCAGAGGCCAGATCTTATCCATCTTATCCATCCCTGTCCTCACTCAGTCCGTGGCCCGACACACCAGAGACCTCAGGGAATGTTTGTCGAGCTGAAGAGGCAGCTCAGACAGGAAGGGCCTGCTTCCTCTGCAACCACATGGACTCTGGTTTGGATGGTGAAGGAGGAAGATTCATCTAGAAAGTAGGACTAAAAATGCACAATCCTCTGTGATCAGGAAATAAGGTCCCAAGACGTGGTATTTAGAGGCCTTCCTGTATTAGCCTGTTATCCCCTGTAATAGGGATGCCTAGAGATCACAGAACCTCAGACTTGAAGGGGTCCCTGGAGCCAGATAACATCAAAGCTGGGGAGGTCCTTAGAACACAAAACATGGAAAGTCAAAGCTGGAAGGACGAGCTGGTCAGTCAGGTTTGATGTTCTGTATGTGATTGTTTGATTGTAGGTCCCCAGCCCCCAAGCCTGGGTCCCCATGGAACCATAAGATTTGAAACAGGGCAGCAAAATGAGGGAGGTCTAGAAGGAAGAAGAGGTTGGTCTGGGCTCACTCCAGGGAGATCCTGCCAGAAGGCAAAGAAGTGGAATCTTTCCAGGTCCCTGGGCAGCAAAAGGGGCAGGAGCTCTCTCAATGGTGGGGGGTGGGGAGGGGAGAGAAGGAAGGGGGGAAGTTGTAGGAGCCACTGACTCAGGAATTAAAGAGTGGGGCCACCACCTCCCACTGACCTCACAGATAAGTGAGTATTGTTAAGGATGGTCTTCAGGTCCATTCTAGCCCTCCCCATATCTAGCACACCCCCATCTTTTTTACTCTTACCCCTGCAGCTTCAGCCTAAGATGAGAAGGAAGGGAGAAAACAGATATTAAGAAAGGATGATTTCGAGGAAATAGCAAAGGGAAAAATCCCCTGAGTCTTCGTAGAAACGAACAAAAGTCATGCTGATATAAACACAAGTGGAGACCCTCCCCAAACCCACAGCCTCCAAAGTGCAAGGCCTAGCTGGCCTGTGGGTGGAGTTGGTGGTGGGGGTAGGGAAGGTAGAACAGGGAGAGGGAAAGGTACACATGGTTATCCTGAGGAACAGGACCAGCCTGGTCTGACAGGTTGATGACAGGGCCCTTCAGGGCATCAAGGTCTACCGGTTCATGGGATTTGAACTCTGAAGACCTGCGTTTAAATCCTCATGCTGCTCCCTTCCTACCTAAAGATGTGTGACCTTAGGAAAGTCTCCTACCCTCTCTGGCCTCAGTTTCCTCATTTGTAAAATGACCTCTAATGACCCTTTCATCTGGATCTCAATTCATTTACATCTGGCCCCACTGCACTATATGACGACTTGAGGCTTTTTCTCCTCTCTGGGTCTTTGAGGGGAACAAAATTTGAACCTCCCAAAAACAAGGGAATCAGAGACAGTAAAACCAGACAATCTAGTAGGAAAGAAGTATAAATCTGGTAATTATGAGGGCAGGAGTGACTCGTGGCCTTACCAACAACACCATGTGGGTGACACTTTATTCTTTCAAGCACAATTTCACCATTTCACAGCCATCACCTTATTTGTTAGCAATCAGGAGATTGGGGTTCTCTCTGTAGGAGTTTGGGCCATTCCATTCTGCTCACTAGGGCTTTCTAAAATGAATATATGGTCTCTAAGGTCCCTCCTCACTCTGACACTCTACAAGCTCAAGAGAGTCAAGAATTCTTGCCTCTGGACCCTCCCCCAGCGCAGGTGCCCCTCTGAGGCTGGGGAGGACCAGGCAGGTATAGACACTCACCCAACAATAGCAGCTTAAGCTCTCCTCGGTCCCTCTTCTTCTGTTCCATGAGGATCTTATTGATTTCTTGGTCAATCCTTAAGGCCATCTTCTCATCTTCTGTCAGGCACCAGGGGCAGCAGCACCAGCTGAGGGAACGGGCCATGGCCTTGAAACACGGAGGCTTAGAGCCGTCACAGGGGCTAAGGCAGCATGTTGAATGTCCTGGATCCCCACAAGCAGATTTCTTGGCAGGAAGATTCTACCTTTCCCAACTCTCCCCAAGGGCCAGCAGAGCTCTTTGGGACAGCTTCTGGTTCTGCTGGGTTCAGGAATAAGTGATGGAGTCCACGGGAAAAGGGATTTGATCTCTTCTGTGCCCTCTCCTGCTCGGGTCTCCTACAAGCCTTAGCTTATATTTCAGGTAGGGAGAAGAGGAAGATGAGGATGGCACCAAGTTCCAGACCCAGCCAACCAGGTGGACAGGCAATACAAGGAGAGGTAAGAACCAGCTGTCCCCCTTCTTCCCGGTGTGGAAGAATAAGGTCAGACTGGGAGACGGCTGTCCCTTAGGCGGCAGACGTGCAGAGGAAGAAGTCTCAACCACAGGCCTTCCCCTGGCTGTCACCCAGTGGGGAGCTCCTTCCTCATTCCAAAACCAGGGTATGCATAAGCTCTCGCCTGTGCCTCAAGGTGCCGCACCCCTCCTTGGCTGGGGTTCCCTGGCCCCTCTGGCTGGGAGGAGGCAGCGTTCAGCACCCCCTCAGTAAAGGCTCCTCCTTTCTCTCGGGCCCCTAGCCACAGGCCTTCCCCTTCACCCAACTACCCAACCACCAACCGCCATGCGTGCTCTCTCAAAAAAAAAAAAAAAAAACAAACCTCTCCCGCCCAATGAAGGAACAAACCATTTCCGGAGGGGAAACAGGGTGTCGTCTTTGTTTTTCTGGAGACCGAGGGGAGAAAGAAGAGGCATGAGGTCCTCCTGGTCCGATAGGGCTTAGGGGCCAGACCCTGGTATGAGGGACATACACCCTTCCCAGACAAGGCCTTTATCTTCAACAAATCCTTTGTGGCTTCCATGACAGGCAGAGGAAGGTGGACTTCATCCAAATTCCGATATCTCAACTCCCTGTGCCATCCCCACCTCACCCCATCCCACTCCCCAGACCCAGGGACAATACTCACTGCCAGTATCATAAGTCAATGTCCTCCTACATTCACCAGATCCTGGGATGCGAGTCCTCAGCTCATGAAAGAAACTGGCAGGGGCAGCAAGGTGTCGCAGTGGATAGAGCACTGGCCCTGGATTCAGGAAGACCTGAGTTCAAATCCGGTCTCAGACACATAACACTTACTAGCTGTGTGACCCTGGGCAAGTCACTTAACCCCATTGCCTAGCCAAAAAAAAAAAAAGAAAAGAAAGAAACTGGCAGTGGCAAGAAGCAGCTTACACCCGGTCACTGGTTTGAGCCATCCAAATCCTGGTTCCTTGCCTTCTCCCTAATCAGACTGCCCCCCTCCCCAAAGGGAACTCCCCCTCAAACACACACTCACACAAGCCCTTTCATGTGAGGCTTTGCAACTTCCTACCTGGAAACCAAAGCTGAGAAAAAACAGAGACCCCGAGGCCAAACCACCTGGAAACTACAACCAACATAGAGCTAAGGATCTCCGAGCTGGGAGGCCAGGTCTGAGTGACAACCCAGGCCAGACAACAAGAGCCTTCAGGAAAGGGTCGATCTGAACGTTTTATCTAGAAGGGTACTTAGAGAGCATCGGGACAAACCCCCACCATCACCTAATGTTACCAAACCAAGACTCAAAGACTGTGACTTGCCCAAGGTCATACAGTTAATAAGTAGAAGAACTAAGATTCAAACCCAGGTCTTCTGACATCCAACTCGATGGTTTTTCCACTTTGCCAAATTATGTCATACTCCTATTGAACTGTATGTGCTTTAAGGGCAGATACTGTTAATTTTTTTCATCTTTGTATTCCCATCATAGAGTACACAGTAGGTACTTAATAAGTGCTTATTGCATTGAAATCTGTTCTGTATGGCACAGCATAGCCTGGGCCTAGAATGCTCTGTACTGGAGCTGGCACAGACGCCCCATTAACTGAGAGTTGCTAGCTTGGCACCACTGGTTCTGTGCCTCAAAGGCTTCCAATACTAAGGAATCTATATGACCCCAAGTCCAGTGTTCTTTTCACTACAGAAGCAAGAGAAGTAGATTACTTACAGTAGAGACCTCCTCCCTGCCACACACACACACACACACACACACACACACACACTGCCACTCGATGTCAGATTTGGGGGAAAAATATCTGGCTTTGTTTTGGTTACCCCTCCACACACCAATCCAAACAATGCTCTACGTTAGCCCCCCAACATGTACAGAAAGGAAATGATGGGAATTCTGGCAGGGAGACACCACTTCCTCCTAGAGTTTGTAACAGAAGTGAGAAAATCCAAGTCTTTTTGCACACTAGGTTTTGAGAAAGAAGATAATCCAGTGGTTCAGAGAAAGGAGACACAGGATCCCACGGACTAAAATTCTACAGGGGAGGTCAGCCCAGGAGGGAATGAAAGTCTGAGGACACAAAGAGAAATAATTTCAATGAAGAGGGAAAAGGGGGATATCTGAAGAGATAGTTGTGGATGCACAGGGAACTCACCAACAAACTCACAGTTTATGAAGAAATGTAACAGAACGGCAGTGGGTTACAGGGGAAAGAGAGCTGGTCTAGGAATCAGGAGGGCCTGAGTTCAAGTTCCACTTCTGACACATTTTAACTATGTGATTCTGGGCAAGTCACAACTACTCAGTGCTCCGGATAAATTAACAATGATTAGGCCCCTGGCACTGAGCTAAGCATGAGGAATACAAAGCAAAAAATTGTAGCCTCTAAAACAGTAAGTTGTAGAGAAGGTGCCATTCTTCAATGGTAGAGGAAGCCCCTCAAGCCCTTCACTAGGTTCTTGCCACACCAGGGAAATGATGGGTCTGTTTAAGCTCTATATAATTTTGTCAATTTACTTCTGATTTTTGGCTCTGCTGACTTCATTCTGCATCAGTTCATATAGATCTTTCCCTGCATCTCTGTATTCATCACACACATCTTTTCTTATAGCACAATAAAAGTTCATCATATTTACATACCACCATTTGTTTAGCCATCCCCCAAACGACGGTCATGTACTTTATTTCCAATTCTTGGCTATCACAGAAAAGGGCAGCTACAAATACTTTGGAGTTATATAGGGAATTTCTTCTTATTGATGGTTTCCCTGGGGTATAAGACCAGGTGTCTCTGCTTCAGAGGGTATGTACATTTTAATTACTTTATTAGCATAATTCCAAATTGCTTTCCAAAATGGTTGTACCATTTTACAGCTCCACCAACAATGCATTAGTGTGTCTCTCTTCCCACAACCCCTCCAACATTGACTGTTGTCATTTTTTGTTGATTTACTGAGTGTGAAGTGAAACCTCAGAGTTGCATTCATTTGCATTTTTCTTATTAGTGATTTGGAGCATTCTTTCATGAGGTTGTGAATATTTTGCAATTTATCTTTAGAGAAATATTTGTTCATAGCCTTTCACCACTTATCTATTGGGTAATGGCTATTAGTCTTCATACACACATATATTTTATGTACATAATAATTTTTATTATATTGATATAGCCTAGCCATGACACTAAATATTCCTCCAGTTTTTTAAGCTGTCTATTTCTGTAAGGAATAGTTGGAATGGAATAAAGTCCTTCGTGTGCTTTAGTAAGTTGATCCTCAGATATTTTATGCATTTTGTATTTATTTAGAATAGGATTTCCCTTTCTTTTATTGTTTCTTGAGTTTTGTTATTACTATATAGAAAGGCTGTATATTTTTTGTATCCAAGATATATAAACAATCCGTGTGTGTATATGTATATGTATGTGTTTATATATGCATATGTGCACATGTATATTTGTATATACATATGATTGGTTGATTGTTATCTTTCATACTCAAAGAGGACTAAAATGATATCACTGCATTGGAGTCAAGTCACAATATGTCTGACTATGGTTGATCAGGCCAATGTGAGCTCAGAATACTCTACCACAGGTCAGGCACAAATAGTCCACGTGAACATTTGGGGTGGATTCTCTAAATTTGTGCATCTTGCGTTTCTTTTGAGATACTTTAATTCTGCTTTGCTCATAGAGCACTGATGAGGGCATACCATGCTGATCGGTCCTGTGCCAATGTCTCCCACGTCACACAATGTATGTACATACACACACAAATTGTTTATATATCTTGGATTCCAAATCTTCGTCAAAGAAATTTCCCATTAGACCACTTCTTGCTCATCCTAGGTATATTAATTTTGTCTGTGGGGAAACTTTTGCATTTCAAGTATCCAAAGTTATCTATTTCATCTTTTATAACTGCCTCTATCTCTAGTTTGGTTAAGAATACATCACCTACCCATAGCTGTGAGAGACATGTGATCTGTTTCTCTTCTAATTTTTTAATAGTATGACTTTTAATATTAAGGTCTCATATCCATTTACAGTGTACTCTGGAGTGGGGTATACGGTGTTGGTTTAAGTCTAATTTCTGCCAGACTGCTTTCTAGGTTTTTTTTTCCAGTAGTTTGAATCAAATAAGGAGTTTTTCCCAGTTAATTTCTTTTTTCCACTTTATCAAACCAAGTTATTGAGCTGTGTTGTTTCTGATTCTCCCTCATCTAGATCCAGCTTTCTGTTTTTAAATTATTTTATATCTGTTTTTTATTTTTTTAAATATTTATTTTTAGTTTTCAACATTCACTTTTACAAGATTCTGAGTTCTAAAATTTTCCCCCTCTCTCCCCTCCCCTCTCCCCAAGACAGCATGTAATCTGATATAGGCTATACATGTATAGTCATATTAAACATATTTCCACATTAGCCATGTTGTAAAGAAGAATCAGAACCAAAGGGAAAACCATGAAAAAGAAAAAAAACAACAAAAAAAGAGAAAATAGCATGCTTCGATCTGCATTCACACTCCATAGTTCTTTGTCTGGATGTGGATACCATTTTTCATGATGAGTCTTTTGGAATTGTCTTAGATCATTGCATTGCTGAGAAGAGTTGAGTCTATCAAAGTTAGTCATTGAATAATGTGGCTGTTACTGTGTACAATGTTCTCCTGATTCTGCTCATTTCACTCAGCATCAGTTCATGTAAGTCTTTCCAGGTTTTTCTGAAGTTCCCCTGCTCATTTCTTATAGTACAATAGTATTCCATTACATTCATATACCACAACTTGTTCAGCCACTCCCCAATCGATGGGCATCCCTTCAATTTCCAATTCTTAGCCACCACAGAAAGAGCTGCTATAAATATTTTTGTACATATGGGTCCTTTTCCCTTTTTTATAATCTCTTTGGGAGTGCTATTGCTGGGTCAAAGAGTATGGACATTTTTATAGCCCTTTGGGCGCATTTCCAAATTGCTCTCCAGAATGGTTGGGTCAGTTCACAACTCCACAGCTCTCTATTTTTTTTTTAATGCCAAAGAATTTTGATGACTGCTGTTTTGTAACATAGTTTAAGGTCTAGAAGTGCTATTTCTTCCCCTTCCTTACTTCTTTTGATCATTTCCTTTGATATTCTAGATCTTTTGTTTTTCCAAATGAATTTTGTTATTATTTTATCAAGGTCTATAAAGTATCCCCTCGGTAATTTGATTGGTATAGCAT